TCCTGCTGAGCTGCGTTAGTGAACACAAGTTTTTATTGTATTTATTATGCGAGACTTTTAACTGCATGATTGATTTTATTTTGGAAAACAAGGACCACTACAGTATATAAAGCTCTTAATTGTTCCTTTTTTGCAAACAAAACACATTATATGGAAATATTTGGTAAGCATCATCAAGATATCGACAGAGAGAAAAATGTACCAAAAAAACATCATATGTAGATATAGAACATAAACTAATTTGTGTGCATGTCAACATATGTTACGAAAATGGAAGCGTTTTTGGGTGTGAAAAATGTAACGACCAATTAATTAAGTTGAATTGTTCAGGGTTCACTTTCAGTTTAGTGTGTAGGTCTCTTAGATAGGGGTGTCCATTTTAGGTTTTTGGGGTATAATAAATTTTCAAGTCTTCAATGTTACCTTTGCATAGAAAGCAGAGAAGGCACATATATCACCCACTCAATGCTCCCCTTCCATCTATCTAGGTGTTCACGAAAAAGAATAACATAAAGAAATCGGAGAATATTTTCGAACGTAGATATCTCCCTTTCACTCCTCAATCAACTACTCCACTTTTACTTGTTTTGTGCAATGACCCATGACGTATCATTAATGTGTGAATCCGCCAGTTATTATTTCAGTGCGTGTCATCTTGAAATAAAGAAGTTAAATAAAACATGCTAAGGAAACATTACACGAAGGGAAAAAAAGTGGGAAATGATCTAACAATCATAGAAGAAAGTGAGTGATATAATGGATAACTAGTTGATGAGCAATCAATGGGAACAACAGTGCAAACCCACTCAAATAACCACGGACTTGTCTCTTTTGATAGGAAACTAGAAGGCATACATACATGAGCATTCACACGACATTTTGACAAGACCAAAATACATAACGTCATGTTCGGATATCCCTAACACCTTGCTCATTAAGTATACAGTATTATTGATCGTTTTGTTGACAACCGATCTTCACTGAAGAATTTGATTTATAATTTTTAATAAAATCTCTCTTTTTTAACTATTATATTTTCTATTCACAATATTCAAATCTCAAACCATACTTAAATATACTGAGTAAAGTTCCATTCTGACTAATATCTCATTAGCCCATGAATATATGGTCTTATATTTAATCTCTAAATTTGTGTATATACATAAATACATAAATATATATATGTTAAAAGTGCTCAATCTTTTAAATAATTTGAAGGAGAAATTAGTCTGTAACATTTGTTAATTAACTATAATTTATACATATTAAATTTGTATAAATTGGTCAAAACCTAATTTATAATTTCCTCTCCATTCTTATGGTGTTTTGTTAAGTTTTTTAAGGCATGGCCACTATTTGCACAACACGTGACTAGGGCGCACGGTCCACAAGATAAGTATGTGGTTAGAATTAGGATCCAAAAAATGAATCTGTTAACAGGTAATCCAAATCTAGAAACTGTTTATAAATTACTTTGTGGTTTAGGTTTGGGTGTGAGTGATGAGCACAGGCATTTACTGTGTGGTGACCTAGCTAGCCCAGGCTTCCAGTCAAAAAGTCTCTTCTATCTTTGTTGGCCTAAAAAGACTTACAAAGGGCACCAAATTATTTGAACACAAAGCACTCTGCAATGCTAGCTAGAAAAGGAGTGTTTGAACGAAAGAGGGGAATATATACACTTGCTTACAACACAACCCATCATTTCTCTCTCTCTCTCCCCCACCAATAACGGTTTAGCTTTTGCATTTTAAATGCAAAGGAAAGGATAATTGTTATTGTTATTGTTATGAAAAGTCATCCAAAACAGTTGATCTCTAAATCTGTTTGGACACCATGAGATTTGAGGTAAAGTGAAAGCTACAGGACTATCTTTTCTCTTCTTTCACCATCAAACAAACAAACCTCCTCTTGATTTTTCGTTCAAATTAACACATTTTATTAGAGCTAGCTCCAATTTTAGAATACCCTCCATCTTTTGCTTAAAGTAAAGGCTCTATCATAAAGCAATATTAAAAGTAAAATATGGCATTATCTACTCAAAAGGGACGCTCATTTTATGCTTTTGAGCTTCAAATAAGCATCTTCGACCCTCTACGTGGCCATGTGGCTGAAAGCAATATCCAAGGGAAGAGAAAACTAAGAGAGAAAGAGAGAGAAAGGGAAAAAGATTAGTTAATAGTATTGGGCAGGATGGGCAGCTTTAAAGGCTAGAACGGGGAGGAAAAAGTTGCTCTAATTTTGACATGACAGCCTTGTTAATGTAAAGGTGATGGAATTACGTACCATACACTCCCTCTTTTTCCCCAAAAGTTTCTCATTATTTTATGCTTAATATCTGATATGCACCAAACCAACTTCTGTTCATTAAAGACTTGTTATAGGGCCAGTATAATTAGGAATACAAATGATTACTATACCTCGTGTTACCTGCACACAACCGCAGATATATGACGAAGCAAATCTAGGCATTTCATGGCAGGCTATATGTGTTATGTATAGAGATATTTAAAGTATTGTATAATGGGGTGGTAGTGGAAGAATCTATCAAAGTATGTCCAATGTGACAGTCTATGTATAAACTCTTAAACATTCGTTGTTTTCGCTTTTGATTTTAGAAAAAGTAAGATTAAAATGTTATAGAAAAGAAAAATTGTGTGCATTTTTTAATATTAATTAATAAATTAATCCAAATAGATCACTATATTTAGGATGATATATGTTCGATCTTCACCATGCGTACTAATTACTATATAGTATATATCAATCGCCAACCTACTGAGTTCTTCATGTGTATTAAAAACCTTACGTTAAACATTGCAAAGGTTCATTTGTAAAATGTCCTCCTTTATTAGTAATGTGGTACACGAGACATTTTCATACTAAAAACATGCAAAAACGTCAATGTATATTGCCAGAGACATATTTCTGCAGAAACTCTGGTAAATGGCACCTTTTACTGAAAGCAGTTGATGGGAAACTACTCCACCATTGATGTGGTGATAATAATTAGCAGAAGCCATGGTCAGAATCTGCTTCCTTCCTAAAAGACTTCTATTTTGGCTGAGCAAGTAAAAGGTAGAAAGGGAAGGTAAAAAAAAAATGAATAAAAGGAGCGAAAATAACTTTCAACCAAAGCTTGAGAATGAAAATGAACACATTTTACTTTCCCCATCGTTATTCAACTTGGCTCGGGCATCCATATGATCAAAATATTGGATCATTGTTTAACTAGTGAATAACAATCGAAAGGATTAAACCAGACTCTATCTATGTATATGAAATAAATTTAGTAATAGAAGCATTGTAAAAATGAGTTTAATGAATATGCTTAATGTAAAGCATTTTTACACCATAAACTAATTATAACTCGCTAATAATATGAATCTCTTATTATTTATTGTAAAAGTTAATAGACTCTATATACGGTGTTTTGTTATTAGAAGATAATATATAACTACATTTCAGTATATAACCTATTTTACAATTGTAATTGTGGTATGGTACTGATTAATGTTGCACAAATTAATTATTAGGTTAGATGTTCAAACTTCAAACGTTGATCCACTGACTTGAAAGTTGTGGATTAAATTGGTCTAGGAAAACACTTACCAGGAGGCAACAATGAAATTGTAAGACATGAAGGTAGTTTTGCTTGTGGCACCAATGTAGATCAAGCATGACTAGCTTTGACATACAAAAACATTGGACCGTAACTAGCGTACCGGGAGACAAAATTTAAGAATTTCAATAGGAACAAAACTGGTGTTGGTATGTGTGACATTTTGGGGATGAAAATTATCCGCTGATTTAAAAGTTGAAGATCGGAAACACTTTGTAGTTCTATAAATACACTACGCTTACAAACGTGAAATCTAAAATTATTCCCGCTTCGAACTCGCCAAAGGCTTATATCCTTACTAGTATTTTAGATATATAAAAGCATGTTTATTATATATAATTTAATTAAAATCTATAATAAATTATATATAAAATATTATATTTTAAATATATAAATAATATTTAAAATAAATATACATAAATATTTTTAATTATATAAATTATACTTTAGATTTATGATAAATAATTAGTATTGTAAAAAAAATAGTTTTATTTATTGATAATTTATATTAAAATATTAATATTTAATGAATAAATAATGATATATAAAAACTGAATCAGAAAAGAAGTTAACAAACCCTCTCGTTGAAAAAAAAAATCCTAAAAACACTTTTGTATAAAATAGATATTTGTATTTAATATATAAAGATTATTATTTTTTAATCTGATTTCTACTTTTCTAACATTTGTCTGAATATCCATCACAATAATAAGTGTGTTTGATATCTCATTGTGTCATGTTGGATCTGCATCCCAGACAAACTAGCATTTGTTGCTTCGGCGAATTCTGTTCCTTTTGAGGCGATTTTAATGTTAACGCAAGTATACATGGTAAAGGCAAACACACTAACCAATGAGTTAACATTAACATGGTAAAGTAAACCGAGTGTGTAAAAATAGCTTCCAATAATCCATGAAAAATTAAAATAATAGACAAAATTAAGGAATTACAGAAACTGCGTATTATTACAAACGATCACATTTATACACGAAATCGGATGAACATCTGTTAGAGACATCTATTAGTATATACTCCCAAGGCATATGAACTTTACTATAGTATCCTTCACAAGTTGCTTGTTGGCAGTTATAGCATAAAATACTCTGTTCTAATAATATGTAAACTATAACCCTATTGCATTTTTAGAACCAAAATATAAAGTACAGTGTGAAATTAAACAATAAGACAGGTAAAATAAAAATAAATAAATAAAAAGGGATAGAAAATAATTCAAAAGAGGGAAGAATCTAAAGTAACTAAGAAAACTCATCACAACAACTTTAACTATACCTCAGTTTTCAGCTAATCCAAGATCATGCTGAAGTAATGGAGCAAGCACATACTCCACCGCTGATCTCTGCTTGGAAATTTCATTTAAAATTACTAATTTAGCTTCCTCACAAGCTCTTGCATTCGGAAAACCAAGGGTCCATCTCCCATCTACCAAATGATGAGCCATGTCCAGGAGGTTTCCTTTGGCTTTGATTGAATAAAACTGTGGGTCAAACTCTCTAATTCGAAGGTGCAACCATGAGGGGTGGTTCTCATCTATCTTAGGCTGTATCAAGCAAGTAAAAGGGGTTAACGACACAAAGAAGAAATGAAAACATGATGAATTGATAAAAAGGACATCAACCCCTGCCCCTAAAAATCTAAAGATTAAAAGCTAAAAAAACTCATTGCTTTTCTCTGTTAATTGGTCTTTGAATTTTAAAAAAGAAAAATCTAACATGTGGAAAAATTTAGTGTTTGTAGTTTTTCCTCTTTTGGTTTAAATTTTAGGACAGTTCATGGTTCAATAAACCTCCTATCCAAAGCCCATGTGTGCACGCCCAAACAAACACAAAAGGAGAGGAGGAAAAAAGCAAAAACATCAAAACAAATCCTAATGCATGACTGCAATCTATATGTATATCTTTCTATTCGGGATAATATGCAATAATCATATATAGACATGCATTGCATGGAAGAACAGTATAGAGCATTCTATTAATAAGACTATCTGGTAACATGAGAATAAGAAAAGGCAGATTCGAAAACCAACTTAAAAAGAATGTGAGAACAGAAAGCATCTTCACATAATTATTTTTCTTAAATAATCAGACTAACATCATAAAAAACTATAAAAGATAAGCTCTGAGCAGAAAAAAGTCAGAGACGTGTAGACTTACACATAACCCTGCCAATGGAGCAATTGCAATCACAACTCCATGTCGACTGCGGAATGGGTGTTTCTCTGCAAGAAGCAATTTTCCAGCTATTCCACTTGCCACTGGTATTACATATATATCCCTAATTTCGGAATTTGAAAATGCAATTCCACAAGGCATTCCAGACTCTGCAAAAGATACATACGATAAGAATTTACAAGGGAAAAAAAATTGATGCCAGAAGCACAAAATATACTGATGCCTACCCAACGAAACATTGGACCCAAAGCTAGCAGATGAAACATCTGAAGCACGGATCACTCCAGAATCATTGGTAGAACTGGAAATCATGTTCATTAATGGCTTTTCAACCAATACACCTTCCAAAATAAATGTTTTCAACTGGTAGTGGAGAATGAAAGCCTGAATAAACAAATGGTATTAGAAGTATGCTTGAGGAGTATTAAAGGATGAAAGATAAAAGGCATGAAATAAATAACAGCAGCAACCGAAATCATGTAACAAAATAATTGTTTGGTTAAATAAGAAAGATCATATATTGATTAAAGCCCCACCATAACTACGAGAAACTTCTGCAGTAAAGATAATTTTTGATAAAACTAGAGAAAAAGAAGAATAATCTCAATGAGATATATTAAAAGGGAAGCAACTAATCTGAATGACAACTGCAAAGAATAATGACAACACCTTCACTGCATCAACCATCCTTTGCCAAGCAAGATATGAAGATGTTTGACCTGTCACAGACAATCATTTATTTTCAATGAAATCATAATAGTACTTGGTGCCATTCAATATTAAAAGTAAAATACCAAGCCATTGAAGAAGAGGTCATTTATATATCAAAGATGACAATACCATTGGTGGGTTGTTGGTGAAGAACAAGCTCCAGCAAAAATAATGGATCTTTATATTGGGAAGATTGTTCAAGAACTGCATGCAATAAAAGGGATGAACATTAAAGGGGGAAAGATAGACACCGTTAAGATAATTTCATATTGTTAGTACAAAAACCACCAAATCCAATCCTAATCCCAACAGATGGGCTGAGCTACCTAAATCAAACAAAGCCACTGGATTCTATCAAAAACCAAAATTTCAATAGTTCAAGACTAATCTTTATTTCCATTTTTTAATTACAAAAAGATGTATGCACTTTGTAGATCCATATTAAGCATATACTTATTTCAACTGATCAAAAACCAAGTTAATCAAAAAAGATGTAGTAACCAGTAGGTTCAATCTCAAAGTGAACAAAGTAACAAATACCTCTTTTACAGCTTGCCAATTCTTTAATTAGAGTATCTGGAATATGATCGAACCAAACTCCATCAATTTCTTTCAGAAAGTTTACACGGGACTGATCATATGAAGTCTGCCGATGGAAACTAGAAACTATAAAACTTTAGAAATTTTGAATGCATAAATGCAGTTTTGTAGTTGGTATTATTATACATATAATAACATTGTTAAATCAATCTGTACCTATAACATGCATACCCTATCCAAAACTAAAGATGTAATAAATAAATCTCATATCTATCCAAAATAATACGTGATCGTGTCAAGCATAGCTCATCAATACTTTTATCTTTATTTATTGTTTAGTCACTAAAAGGCATTTAACTACATTTTCTATAACTATTAGAGATGTAATATAAAACCATTCAAGTGTCATTTCCTAACATCTTAAGATTTTGGGATAGTTGGTTCATATGATGATATAAGAGATGGCTTCTATTCACCTATTTCCATCTATGATTGCAATAATCTATAGTCTCTTCCCTTCATCAGATGGATATCAAGAATGATTTCCTCCATGGTAATCATAAAAAGGAAGTTTCCTCCATGGTATTGAGGTGACATAAGAGCTCTTTGATTTCCCTTTTTTTTGGTTTCCATACCTTGCAGTTTAAACCACTTGGTTCCGTTACATCCCTTAAAAGACCTTGTGATTTGCTTGTGTTGATTTGGTAACTAGTGGTGATGAGGTTCCTTACGAAGCCTATGGTGAGACACTTTGCATTAAGAAGTCAAGTGAAAATGTTTTACCCTAAGCACTTGAGTGAAGCGAGCTCAGTGAACCTGTCTTTGCAAACATCAGTCTTAGAGGATGAGCATCTAATTGGACTTGATTGAATTGATCCCATAATGATGCTTATCTTTTGCTTGTGTCTTCAGTTCTAATTTGATGAATCATTTGATTAACAACTTTGGCCCATGGTAGTTACTTGAGGACCAGCAAATCCCTAAGTTTAGGGTTGTTTGGTGTGTTGCATTTAGTTCATAATTAGGAATCATTTTAGTTAGAATTACTTGCATTAATAGTTTCTTGAGACTGTATATTTTGTTCATTTCATGGCATATTTTCCTTTTTGTCGCACTTGTTACGCCTTAGGTATTTTTCATGTGTGTAGGAGCTACATTGGTGTTAAATGGAAAGTTTTCTAGAATATATTAGACCTTCAGGACATAGCATGATGATCAAAGACCTGTTTGGAAGGGAAGTAAGGAAGATTTTGGCCTGGAGGGATCTGGCACAGGTTTGTCATCCATTCGCATGCTCGTTCAGATTAGCTTATGAAAAAAAAAACACTACCACTGCATCTGTCACGGACATGCCATCCATCCGCACGCCCATGCAGATTAGCTAGTTTTCTTGACTACACCGCAGGCATTCTAATTAGCTTATTTTTTATTTCAAATATTGCATTTTATCTTTTGTAAACTAACCAGATTTGGTTCCTAGGTAAATATAGCTATTAGAAAGTTAGTAAAGAGGGATTGGGTTGTGCCACCTGAGACAAGAAGAGAAGGGAGTCACTTACTCTATGAGTAACTCTTGGTAGACTTATTCTACTTAATAACTCATGTTCTATATTAAATTTCAACAATTCAACCATTAAATTAAAAATTCTTAATGCATAGATTAAATCTACAAATTTTTAAAACATTTGAAAACTATTTGATACTTTGTTTCATGAATTCAAATTGACAGATAATTATAAAAATATTTTATACGTTAATTTGAATTTATATAATGAAGTATCATATGATTTTCAAATTTTTTTAAAAATTGTAAACTTAATCTATACATTAAGAACTTTTAATTTAACAGTTGAATTGTTGAAATTTGATGTAAAACATGAGTTATTGAATGAAGTAATTCTATCAAAACTTACTCTTGGAGTAAGTGAATCTGATAGATATTGGAGGGTGTACAGTAGGAGAAATTGGCAGAGAGTAGAGGATTAAAATGCAACTAAATAACAGAATGTATTGGTAGTAAATGGGCAAGTATAAATAGGAGAATGGAGGTCGGTAAGAGGGGCTTTTTAGAAAATTCATTGTTTTGTGGAGAGTCAGGTCTCTCAAATACCTGAAATTTGTTACAGCAATAAAGTTCATAACAGTGTTTTCCTTTCTCTTCCGTTATACCTGAACCAGTTCTATCAGAATCCTTCCTATATATATATATATACACACACAATAAACACTTTCCATTTAATATGCTTTATTAGAGCAATGATATGCTCATTGTTCTAACCTACACACTATTTACACACACAATCACAATTAATATGCATAATCATCTTTAAATTACAAGACACACTTGTAGGCAGAACCTGTTGTCCTAGAACATTAGGAGAAACCATTTTTGGTCCTGTAGATTACATGATTTATAACTAATCGTGAGCTCTTGATTTGATGAGACACTTCTTTTGCAAAATAAATATGATATTCTGCCTAAATTAGTACCCAGATAATATTCGAAACTCGACAATAGATGGTAATGGAATATACTGAACTGAAATTTCAGAAAGAAAAATAATCAAAAGCTAAGCAAGTTTCCATAATCGATACATCATAAATGTAAAATATTAAATTCACTAAGCCATACTTGTAATGGGAAAATTGTTAAGCACAAGATAAAAGAATATATGAAGTATTATTTAATGTTATCAAAAAACCGTTGCGACGCTATCACAAAGGTATAATGTTGCATTTTTTAACCCCTCTGTCATAAGTCATTTGCTTTCAGTTATTTCCAATTATATGGCATCGTCTGCCATTGCCGCCATGGCACTCGCCAAATCTTCAAATGTTCCCGTTCTTTTCTTCATTTCTTCAAATGCTCCTCATCTCTTTTTCTGTTTTCTCTCTTCTTATTCAATGTGTGACAATTCTTGTTCTTCATCTGATGTTTTTGTGCTTTGTTTTTTCAAAATTTTGAAATTTAGAACTCTGATTCTTAGAATTTCATAGTCATGTTGTCTTTTATGTTGTTCCCAATTCTTTTTCCCTTGTAGCACAATATTAAGCCCGCAGACATTAGATCCAGAATACATTAGTGTTTCACTCTTGTGAACTCTTGTCTAGGTGCATTACCTCCCGGAGTTACACCAGTAACTATTCTAAGTGGTAAAATAACATGTGAGGAATAAATAAAGTATTGATATGATGAGATATGATTGATAAATAATTATGTAGTTGAATATTTTTAGTAAGCACCCAACATTAAAGTCATGCATCCTAAAATTTTGTTTTTAATATATATATATATAAAGAGCATATCAAATGAGAGCATGTCTTATTATGAGAGATCAGAGGAGTAAATGATAGCCTTTAGATTATAGATAAAAATAATTAATGGTCAAGATTATTACTTTTATCTTTTCTACTACTATTAACATCACTACCACACACCATTGTAACTGCCACCACCACTACTATATCGTTGTCGCGATTATTACCACCATCGTCGTCGTTGTCGCGATTATTACCACCATCGTCGCCAGTGGTGGCAGTGGAGGCAATGATGATGTGGTTGTGTGGTGGTAACAATGCCATCTACCTTGTTGCCATTATCACTGTCACCACCATCACCATTGTCGATTTGTCGCCACATGTTGTTACTTGCTAGTGACGACAATGACGACAATAATAACGGTGACGATAACGATAACAATGATGGTGATAACAAATATGTCGCCACTATCATCATCATCACTGCCGCCACCACCATTGTTGTCACTACTTTTAAGTGACAGTAGAGGCTGCATAGTTGTCATTACCACCATCGTCATGATCACTATTGTTGTTGCTTCTACCACCACCGTCGTCGTTGATAATAGTGACGATGGTGGTTGTAGTGGCGGCAACAACAACAATGGCAGTAACAGTGGTGGTGGCAATGATGGGTGATGATGATGTCAATAGTTGTAGTTGTGCAAGAAATAAAAGTAATAATCTTGTAAGAGAGTATCTATAATTGAGTTTTAATCTTAACTATTAGTTATTTTTATCTATAATTTAAAAGTTATGATTTACTTTTCTCATCTCTTAGAATAAGATATGTTCACATTGGATATGCTCCATATATATATATAT